AGTCAGTTCAAGAAGGGCTGGGGATAGAGCTCAGTTGGTAGAGTGCTTGCCTCACAAGCACAAGGCGCTGGGTTCAATCCCCAGCAACACACACGCGCGCGCACACACACACACACACACAGTCAAGAAAGAATTTAGAGAGTTTTTTAAAGTTCTTCCTAAAATCATTTTACTTATATGAATTTGGGGAAGGGTTTTCCTCCTTACCAATGAACTATTTGGGACAGAATTAAATTACAAGTACTATTACTAATGGTGGTTTAGAAACTTTCACTTGCTGCCAGGTGTGATGGCTCACATCTGTTATCTCAGCAAGATCAGGAGGCTGAGGCAGGAGGATCACAGGTTCAAAGCCAGCCTCAGTAGTTAAGTGCCCCTGAGTTCAATCACTGGCACCCCCACAAAAAAAAATTCACTTACTGAGATAGGATTTATCCTAAGAATCCTTGAGCTGGGGTGGAGGGCAGGGGTGCTGGAGATATAGCTCAATTGGTAGAGTGCCTGCCTTGCATGCACAAGGCCCTGGGTTCATATTCCCCACCACCATCACACACACACACACACACACACACACACACAAAGAGTTGTTGAGTGGCTGGGGTTGTGCTCAACAGTAGAGCACTCACCTCACCGTGTGAGATCCACATAAAAATAAATAAGTGAAATAAAGGTATTGTGTCCAACTACAACTTAAAAAAAATATTTTTTAAAAAGAAGAATCCTTGAAACAATATTAGGCTAGAAATAGGAGAAAAGACCCTATTTAATTAAAAACAAAAAGATTATATTCCTAGAAATAAATTTAAGAATAGGAACTAATGAGAAAGACTTTAAAACACTACTGGGGCTTACAAAAGAAACAGGGCTGGGGCTGTGGCTCAGTGGTAGTGCACTCATCTGGCATGTATGAGGCACTGGGTTTGATCCTCAGCAGAACATAAAAATAAATTAATTAATTAAATAAAGGCATTGTGTTCATCTACAATTTAAAAATTTTTTAAAAAAAGCATACCTTGACAAATGGGAGAACCTATGTGCTTTTAGCTAAAGAGACCCAACTATATACAGATGTCAATTCTTCCCAAATTAATGTATAAATGCAAAATACTCAATTTGAAAAGGAGTTTTTGTTAAATTACACAAGCTCATTATAACGTTACTTTGTAAAAATAAAGAAACAAGACCATGTAGAGGACTTCTGAAAAGAAAAAACGGGTCTCTTAGTTATATAGGATATTAAGATATAAAGCTTCAACAGCTAGGCATAGTGGTACATACCTCTAACCCAGCAATTTGGGAGGCAGGAGAATTGCAAGTTCAAGGCCAGCCTCGGCAACTAAGGAGACCTTGCCTCAAAATAAATTAAAAAGGGCTGGAGATATGGCTCTGTGGTAGAGCACCCCTGGGTTCAGTCCCCAGTATTCTGTTAAATAAATAAATAAGTCAAGCTACGACAATCAAAAGCTTATGATGTGTGAATACAAAGGTAGCTTGATGGATCAGAAATGAAAAGCCCAGAAATGGACCCAAATATAAAAAAGAAGTTTGGTTGATTATGAAATGGCATCTTTAAAAATAAAAAAGAAATGACATCTTTTATCAGATGGAGAGATACTTCAACAACTGGGCAGCCCTGTAAAGGCAGGAAAAAAAAAATCAGATTGGATCCAAACTCACACATGTCCATGTGATCAATTCCAGATGAATTGATACCTTTAAAAAGAAAAAAAATTGGGAGTGCCATGATAAATATTAAATTTTAAATATAATCTTGGGGCCTGAGGCCTTCAAAAGTAGAAAATATATGCCAGTACTCATAAAAGATTGATTTGCACATAAACTCAAACATTTCTCCATGGCAAAAACAAGCCAGTTAAGCGAAAAACAGACAAAGCTGAAAGAAAAACAACAAACTGAAGGAACAAACTGCCATTCATGTAACAGATTATGAAGCTCTACAAATCATTTAGAAAATATCAAGATTTTTAACTTAAAAAATTTATGCAAAAGAAATACAAATGGAAGGCAAAGAGTGTAGCTTTGTGGCAGAGTGTGTTCTTAGCATGCATGAGGCCCTGTCACATTCCCAGAACTAAAAAAAAAAAAAAAAAAAAAAAAAGGTACAGTTCACTTCTAATGTAACAAGAGTCCATTTCCCCTGACTAGGAAAAAAAAACAAGTAAAAGTCACTGTTGGAGAAAGCATTGTCAAACAGATGCTCCATCATCATTGTGACAATATAAATTGGGACAATCCATCATGTTAATTATAAATGAACATATATTTTGGTACACAAATTCCACATGCAGAGATTTATCCAGCATCTGGTCTGGCCTGATCATGTATGGAATGCTGTGTGTACAATGTTATTGAATACATGTTTGTATATAATAGCAAAAGAGGAGAAACAATCTAAATTCCCACTGATAGGGATTTGTTAAGTAAGAGGTTCTGTAACTGTACAATGGAATATTATTTATGTAGCTGGTAAAAGGATGAGGAAGCTCTTTATGTATTGATATAAAATGACTTCCATGATCTTATGCAAAGTAAGAAGTCAATAAGAAACTAGTCATTTCTATCCCCAAAGACAATTGGGAAGAAGATTTTCACTGTACATCCATTTATCTTAGAAATTTAAAGGTTTCGAATGATCTACCCACCCCTAACATAAATAAAATTTAAAATAATTAAAAGCCTTTTCCACTCTAATTATGTCTATGTACAGAGTACAGTAGTTCATTTGGTACATATACAATCTTGTGCTTTAAATATAAATCCTGTGTCAGGTGCAGTGGTGTACATCAGTAATCCAGTAACTCAGGAGGCTGAGGCAGGAGGATTGAAAGTCCAAAGACAGCCTCAGCAACTTAGTGACACTTTAAGCAACTTAGTGAGACTCCGTCTCAAAATACAAACTAAAAAGCTCTGGGATGTGGCTCAGTGATACAGCATGCCTGGGTTCAACACCTACTAATAACAACAACAACAAAATAGATAGATAGATAGATAGATATAAAATATATATATGTATATATATAATTGTCCAGCTGTCATGTTTATATATACGTATATATATATATATATATATATACATATATATACACACACACACACACACACATATATATATGTATACACATATATATATATGTATATATACACACACACACACACACACACACATCCACTAAGCCTGGAGAGTGCCAAATAAAGACTATTTCTTCTAGATGTGTGGTTTTCTAGAGTGAGGTACCTGATTTCATTTTTCAGGGGAAAGCTGGTGGTGGGCAGAATTCCAGGATGGGCTACAGTTCACTGAAGTTTGATTAGAACACAGATATATTCATTTCTTTACATATTACTTATGGCTGCTTTTGAGCTTCAACATTGAGTAGTTAAGACAAGAAGCCATAAGCCCCCCAACCCCTCAAAGAAACAAAACACTACAATACATCTGTCCCTTTTTAGGAGTTTCCCCACTCCTGGCTTCAGCCTTTCTCTGTGGGGTCTCCTAAAATACACACCTGAGGTCCCTCCTCTCAGCAGTGGGGATAGGGCAGGGTGAGTCTAGAATGCGAGCCTATTCCCTTAGTTAGGTTACATTCTGGGAGGCCTTGTTTACAGACTGGAGTGAGTTGTTCTCCTGCCACCTTGGAGAAATGAGATGTTTTATTCTAAGGGGCCTGTGGAAGGTACAGAATGGTTTCTGGGAGCTGCCAGGGCCCCCAGCTGACCACCAGCAAGGAAACAGAGACCTCAGTCCTACAGCTGCAAGGAACTGAATTCTGCCAAAAATCACATAGGCTTGGAAGAGGATTCCTGGCTCCAGGAGGAAATAAAGGCTTCCGACTTCTTGACTGCAGCCGTTTGAGACCCTGAGCAGAGCACCTTTCGCCTTGCCAGCTCTCCTGTCCCGAAGAAACTGTGAACTGGTTTGGATGTTATGTGAGGCTGCCAAATGTGTGGTCATCTATTACAAAGCAATAGGAAACTAAACTCATAATGTGAATTGCCTGTCTAAACACATAGTTCATCTCCTTTCCCAGTCTTAGAAAGTAAACCGAGTTTCTGCGATGGCATCTAAAAAGTTTCCCCTTGGTCCTAAAAAGGAGACCCATAAGAGATCTTTGTGACCTTTGGATACCTGTGACAGAGCAAGGAGTGCCCTGGTTCCTCCACTAAGGTTTCCCTCCTAACACAGGCTGCTTTCAAAAAAGTTTCCAACAATGACCAGGTTCAGGAGCTGCTGACTCCTCCTCCAAGCTTTCCCACAACCCCACCTACACAAGATGCCCGAAATTGACAGATACATGAACTTCCTGGGGAGACTGTAGGAACCACCTCCCTCATTTTAAAGGAGCATGATGCAAATTTTAAGTTTGCGCATGAGCAAATTTTTTTAAGTCCATTGCAGACCCTGGAGCCAAAAGCAAAGAATTGACAAGACTTGTGCAGGAGTCCTGAGATCATGTGCAACTGCTGACTATGCATCTGCACACACCCATCCACTTTTATAATATCAGCTTTGCTCCTTGCATTCTCAGAAGGTGGGTACAGAAGCATGATCCCATGTGCTCCTTGCCTGGTACCGGAGAAAAGCCCCGTAAAGCCTTGACGGGTGCGTTTGCTGCCTTTCCTTGATTTCTGTCTCCAATGGAGCAAAAGAACACTTGGATGCACTGGCAACAATAAGAGCTGAAAACACCGAAAGAAGATGGTAATACTGAAATGAGCTGTACTGTGCCTTTTCCTGATTTCTATCCTGAATTGAGCAAAAGAAACCCACACTGTTTGGTGACAGTGTGAAGATAAGCGTGGAGGGCCATCGCCCTCTCAGCACTGGGAGAGCCCAAGAGAACACAGTTACACGAAGCCAGGCGCAGCAGATGGAAAGAATTTAGATTCCAGAGTATGCTGTGGTGCCACCGAATTAACCAATCCGCAAGCTAATGCTCCCCTGGGACTCCTTCTTGCAGTAAGATAATAAGTCCACTTACTGTTTAAATTAGAGGCCAGCAAACTGCAAATCCAGCTCACCACCTGTTTTGTGAATAAAGTTTTATTAGAACACTGGGTTGTTCACTTGCTTACAAGTTTGTTGCTTTCTTGCTCCGACACAAAATCAACCTTCCTCCACCCCCCCCCCTCTCAATTGAATCCAGGGGCACATCCCCAACACTTTCAATTTTTTTTTTTTTTTTTTTACTTTGAGACAGGATCTCATTAAATTGCTGAGGATCTGGCTAAATTGCTGAGGCTGACCGCAAACTTGGAATCCTCCTGCCTCAGTTTCCCAGGTGGCTGGGGTTATAGGTATGAGCCACCAAGTACCTCAATCTTTTTTTTTTGACACAATACCTTTATTTTATTTATTTATTTTTATGTGGTGCTGAGGATTGAACCCAGTGCCTCACACATACTAGGCAAGTGCTCTACCATTGAGCTACAACCCCAGCCTCTCAATCTTTATTATTTGTCTTTTTATAGGAAAAGTTTGCTAGCTCCTGGTTTAAGTCACTTATTTGGTTTTGTTTGGTACTGGAAGTTGAACCCAGAGGTGCTTAACCACTGATCCACAGCCCCACCCCATATTTTATGTTTTATTTTGAGTCAGTTGCTTACCATCTTGCTATTTGCTGAAGCTGTCTTCGAGATTACAATCCTCCTGCCTCAGCCTCCTGAGACACTGGGATCACATGTGTGTGCCACAGTGCCTGACTGGGTTAAGCTATTTCAAATTGAGTCTCCTGTTATTGGCAGCTTAAAAACATTCACACGATCTCATTTCAATGAAAAGTAAAATAACACCAAACCATAACTGGTAATAATGATTATTTCATTTCATTCCAGAATTGCTGCTATAGTAAAATATCATACACTGGGTGGCTTATAAACAGAAGTTTGTTTTCTCGTGGTGCTGGAGGCTAGCAAGTCTAAAATCAAGGTTTTGCCAGATATAGTGTCTGGTGAGGGGCCCACTTCCTGGTTCATTAGACAGCCATCTTTCACTGTGTTCTCCATGGCAGAAGGGAGGAACAGCCCCACAGGCCTCTTTTATAAGGACTTCATTCTCACCTTCATGACCTAACCATCTTTATTACCTTTCAAAGACCTCAACTCCCGCTACCATCACCTTGAGGGTCAAGACTTCAATATATGATTTGGGTCAGGGCACAAACACTCAGACCATTGAAAAGACTAAACATGTTCATATGCAAAACTTAATTAAAGTATATCATGTATAGAAAAAAATTTACAAGTCATTATCATTAATGATTGTCACAAAGTAAATATATACTTGATTAGCTACCACCAAACCCCAGAAACTCCTCTTACCCCTTTCACTCATTATGTCCCTCTTCCCAAAGATACTCACTGTTCATGCTTCTAACAAAATAGATCTCTACAGATTTTGTCTGTTCAGGATATTCATACAAATGCATTGATAAGTGTGCATGGCTTTGTGGCTGCTTTTTTTAGCTCAGCATGCTACTGGTGTATGCACAGGAGTGGTTCCTACATACTACATGAATATATCACAGTTCATTTACTCAGCTCTACATGTGATGGATGCTTGAGTTGTTTCCAGTTTTTCACTATTAGGAATAGCGCTGCTGTGAACAATTTAATTTTGGGGTGCATGCATACACACCTTCCTGTTGGAATAGAACTATGGATCCTGCACACATGGTTTTTACTATGGATCTGTGACTGATCCAATGTCAGAAGGCACATGATTGAAGTGGAGAGAAATTCTGTCTTGTTCCCACTTTAATGCTGAGATTTAATTTAGCAGAGCGTTGGGTTGAAAAGACCACACCCAATCGGATGAAGAATTAATTACATGAAAAGTTAAAGCAATTAAAAAGAGGCTGATTTCCCTCCAAAACCTAAATCATTACTTTAAGGAAGTTTCAAGCTGCTGCCTGGAGAGGTGTTTCTTTTAAGCAGCTGAATTCAAACCAGTGTTGCTTTTGGAATGCAGAGAAAGTGCCCATGGACCTGGAATGTTGCTGAGTCACAAAGGCGATTTTCTGGGAGACGTGCCTTACTTTGAAGAAAAAGTGATGAAAAGTGATGGATGGACAACTGGTTAGCAGGGGCATTGGTAACCTTGAGCTCCCAAGGCAGAAATGCCGCAGTCAAGTTCTAGTGACTTCCCTATTTAGCAATTCTATTGCAAAGAAAAGCCACAGAAATTCGAGTTTTTATAGGCAGGCACTTTCTCCTATTCCAGGCACCTCTGACTGTTCCTTCTGCCTCTTTCCCTTCTCGATGCAAGCAGCATTCTGCAAGGGCCTCCAAACAGTTTTATTTTTTTTTTTTTTAGATGTCGATGGACCTTTATTTTATTCATTTATTTACATGCAGTGCTGAGAATCAAACCCAGTGCCTCACACGTGCTAGGCAAGGGTTCTACCACTAAGCCACAACCTCAGCCCCGATTTTTAATTTTTTTTTTTAACTAAGCAGTCCAGGAGGATCTCATGGATAACATAACTTTCTTAAACATATAGGGAAATTTAGGTAACCCAAAGAAAACTTCCCAGAGCAATAAGGGAGGCCAATTATCAGCCATGTGCACTCCATGGAGGTTCTTTTCCCATTCATCAGTTGTTATCACACCAGCAGAGAAGATTCAATTTGATAATTATCAAGATGAGTCATCATTAGCTAGAGTTCTAGGGTCAAACTCAGGGCTCTGTGGTTTTGAGCTGCTGTCCTCTCAGCAAAATAGCAAATGGAAGTATTTTGGCCCCTCTCTCCTCTCTAGCCAACCTAAGTAATGATTTCTTTGAGAAAGAAAAGGAGGGAGAACAAGAAACAGGGAGGCAGGCAAGTGGTTACTGTCAGGATCCTAAGAAATCTTTCCCCACCCAAGCTTTCCAGAGCAGAGCACGGCTCAGATGCCAGGAGTCAGCTCCAGGTGCAGTGTGGGTGTTTGTCAGAGTTTGTGTGCAACTTTCTTTGAGACTCTGGCAATCTCCCGCAGCCTCGGAGGGCGAGCAGCAGAGGCTGGATGTAGCCTTCTAGCCAGGCTGCCCTTTGGTGTGCGGACCCTGCCACCGTCCTGCTCCAGGACAGACTGAAAATCTGAAAAGAAGGTGCAGAAGGGAAGTCTTCCCTCTGCTCCTTGAGAACTAGACATTACTCAGGGGCATTGAGCAGAATATTCCAAAAGTTGTAAGCTCCGGTAGAAAAGACATGTGGTCGCATGGTCAAGAGAGCTGCTGAGATTGAATCTTGAATCTTCTCTCCCATCAATAAATCAACTGAAAGAACAAATGAAAGGCGACCTGATTTTTCTACAGAAAACACTGTCAGAGAATTTGGTAGATTCTGGGTACCTGTAACAATCTGTAGGCTTTTCATCATTCATCAATAATCATTTCTATTTTGAAAAGCCCTGGCTTTTCCAAGCCATAAAGGGAATCGTATTTTAATGTTGATCATTTAATTATTTCCTCCTCAAATTGTCCAAAGACAGCTTTCTCCCCCTCCCTCTTCGACGTTTATCTTGAGCAGTTTCCCCAGACATCCTTACTCTGCGTCACACTCCTAGGAAGTGGCTGAGGTCTGTGGACCCTACTTCATTGGGGAGGAAACTGAGACTGGGAGCAGTGGAGAGCAAGAATTCAGAGGCAGAACTCCACGTTCCTGGCAGCCTCCCCAGGCTAGGCTGTCTTCAGTCTGAGCTGCCTCAAAATAGGACTTTGAAGAAGTCTGATGAATAGATTGAAACCCTGAGGGCTTTCTTAGTGATGACTTGGTAAGTGCATATATTGTTATTCATGGACTTACAGCCAAAGCCATTCATTTACCAACAGGGACCACTTAGTGACTTTTTTTTTTTTTTTTTTTTGGATACCAGGGATTGCACCCAGGGGTCCTTGTACACTAAGTCACATCCCAGCTCTATTTATTTATTTAGCTACTGGGGATTGAACCCGGAGGCATTTTACCACTAAGCCAAGGCCTTTTTACTTAGAGACAGGATCTCACTGAGTTGCTTTGCTTAGGGCCTAAATTGCTGAGGTTGAATTTGAACTCATGATCCTCCTGCCTCAGCCACAGGCATGTGCCACCACACCATGCTTGTCCTAATTTTTCAATGATTGCAATAAAAGGCTTCTGGGTAACTGCCAGAGGAGAGGTGGGATAGTCCTTTGGGCCTCTCAGGGAGTGGCTCTCTCCCTTGTACGGGGTGCCCACCATGGCTCTATCCCATCACCCTCACTCACCTTCCCACCTCCCATCCATCCTCCAGTTCCCCACTGAGAAGGAATTCTCAGGGCTCCAGGACACACTTCTGCATTCTGGGTCTCAGACCCCCACCCCCTCCACCCACCTTTATCCCACAACATCTTTTTATCTTCAAGGTTGATCGGCAGAGCACCTCCCTAAGAAGCCACTCCCTATTTCTCCACCAACCCAGGCCTCTGTTCCCTAGAAGCCCTTATCTAACGCCATCTTTCTTTACCTCTTGCTTACTGGCCTTTTCCTTTAGATAATAAATTACTTTAGGGCAGGGACAGTTTTACTCACCTTTGCCTAGTCTGAGATGGCAGTTTCCCTCACACAGTAGGGAAATCTGAGGGTTGCACATTTTTTTTCTACAAGGGACCAGTTAATAAATATTTTAGACATAAATGATCTCTTATGCTGCTTCTTTCTTTTTTACAATTCTTTAAAAATATAAAATTCATTTCTTCACTTCCAGGTTAATTGGGGGGGGCTAGATTTCTTGCAACACATAGTGCAATTACATAGTGTGTGTGTGTGTGTGTGTTGCTGGGGCCTCGTGCTGGCTGAGGAGGCACTCCACCCACCACAGAACTACACCCCCAACCCCAGATACTTGTTTTAAACTCAACTTTTTGTTAAAGCTCTCTGGAGAGCTTTTCTCTGAAATTCCACAGGATAATATCTGCATTTGTCTTGTCTCCAAAAATCCAAACAAGGAAAACAGGGGTGAAACCCAGTGTTTACATATATGGAACTATGAACTTGCAAAATCCATGCATGCATCCTTTTGCGTC